ACTCATCACTCTGTTAATTATCCTTGCGTAACTTCTGTTGAAATGGTAAAGACGATGGACCAGCCAATGGGTTATGTATTGCTGAGGAAGTAACAGCATCGGTCCCTCTTGGTTGTTGCTTGTTTAAGAGTCGATGATTTTTACCTTGGAGGAATCTCATAGAGCCACAAATAGTGCTGTATACAAGTTTTATACGACTTGCTGCCTGCAATTGTACATTTCTTCACCATTTGAAACAAGCTTTTGGAGAGCTTTGTGAAGATAGGACTGACTTTGGCATCTGCATTCTACGTGACCATTGATGTACAGGTGCTGTGTCAAGAAGGCAAGAAATCATCCTGCTTTTTAGCAGTGAAAGTAACTTGGCTGTAAAGAAGAGGGAATTATCCCAACCTGACTGAACAGTCAAGCTAATCATCAAAGGCAAGTGATCTCCTGTGTCTTAGAAAAACATAGGTCATAATTACTTTATATTTTAAGTCTGTTCTCTGTTTTAGAAAACAATTTTATGAACTTCTGATGAGCTATTCAGCTACATGATTAATCAGAGCAAATAATTGTTTTTAAAAATATGTACTACTTAATTTCTAAATTCTTAACTTTCTTGAATTCTATTTTTAAATAATAAAGATGGAAGTTGTCCTAGTAACTAGCTCTGTCTAATAGTAAAAGTGAAGTTTTACTCTCTGGCACAGTGGAATTGAGAAGAACATTTTAATTCTCTGATCTTCAGGACCTCCGGAAAACTGAAGAATCAGAATTAAGGGGGAAGATTTAGCATTTGTAGTCCTTATTTATTGATATAATAATGGAGAGTGTTGCCCGAATTTAAGAACTGTGGAATTTCATGCCACCAAAAAATAGCTGTGATTCCGCAGCTCAGTGGTGTTGAAACTTGTAAGTGACTTCCAGGGCCACAGTGTAAGAGACTGTGTGTGTGTGTGTGTGTGTGTGTGTTTGTGCAAGCAGTCAAATGCTAACCTGTGGGCTAATGTCTCCTGCCATGGGAGAAATAAACTGCTGCTGTCAGGACTTGGAAGTAGATGGAGGGAAAAGGGCTGTATTGGATACAGAGGAGCCCAAAAGTGATTGCGCAAAAACAACCAAACCATCACCACCAGCAATCAAAACAATGTTCTCATTTGCTAATGTAATTTTTTGTCATTCCTCCACTGTAGTATATAATTTAAAAATTTGCTTCAGAATCGTAAACACTGGTTAAAAAGACCATTAGCATTAGCTTTGGTCTGGCCCCCTGCCCATAAATTCAATGTGGGGACAAGACAAACTGTGCTTATTACATGCCACTGTAATTAAATTCTCCACATTTTATCATATTAGAAAAACTGAGCTAGAAGTAGCTCTAACAAGAAAAGCCATATTACTCAAATATTTTCAGCACTTAAAAATACTTTCTTTTTTTCTTATAATCAAGAAACCTTGCAGTAGGAAATCAGACATTCAGTAGGAATCACACTGTAGCTGTCATTAGAAGCCATAACGTGAGTGCATAATGTTTCAGAAATTCCCTTTTGTTAGGTAACATCAGATGAATTTGACACTTCTCCTTCATTTCAGTTACTCTCCTGAGACATGCCGGTCTCCAGAGGGACAGGACACATGCACTGATGTAGAAACTGATTTAATCAACGTGACTGCATTCCTTCCTCAGACCGAGGAGTAAGTACGCCTCAATGGCCAGGAAGGCAACCTGTAGTTGCATCCCTAGGAAGTGTTGCTCAGGCTGAGGGATGGAAACTTTCTGGTGTGATGTAGTTTTCAGTATCTGCCTGTATTTAATCTTATCTTCACTTCCCTTAGAACTATCCTGGCCTGTCAGCTGGAAAAAGAAATGCGAGCAGTTCCCTTGTGTAGACACCTAAACCAGGTCTTTCTTCCAAAAATACAGTTGAGGGACTAACGCCTTGTGTAATTGGTAGTTACAGCACTTAGAGAGGATGTGAGAGATCTGTGCTCAAATCCTTCCTCTCTGTGCTGTCCTGTGAACCTACAGTTCCTCTGATCTAGCTGAGCAGCCTTACAGTTGCAGTCCTTCCTGTAGGAGCTGTGCTACTGTAAAAGGATTGAATCAGTGAGTGTGTGTGACTCGTTTGATAATGATGACAGTTGTCTGAGAAAGGGGTAGGTCCTGTTCTCAGTACATAATTAGTGCTGAAATACATTCAGCTGGATTAATGCTATGGAAGAAACTTACTTTTCTGCTGTTGGGTATTTAAAAAGGAAAAAAAACAGGGACACTTCCATTTCTGTCTGCCTAGTTTAGGTCGGGAAGGTTCAGCCATGCTTTAAGGCTGTCTTGCAAAACCTCACAGAAACACCTTACCCATGCAGCCCTGGGAGGATGAGGCACTTACAAGGTGCCTACATTCACAGCACCAGTGAGGTTTATGATGGTAGTTTCCTGGGAGCCTTGACTGGCAGAAATATGCACCTTGCGGCCCACAGATACCTTCTGGCTGTATCTGAGAACAGAAAGGACTCTGCATATTAGGTTATGTGGCTAAATACCTCTACCTTAGCTTGCTGGTTGGCTATTCCAGCCAGCATTCTCACTTTCTATTTCTTCAGTAGAGAAATGCAGCAGAGCTGCTGAATTTGTTTGAGATGTTTGCCAGAACTCTGATACCGATTTCATGATGTGAAAGCTGCAGCGCTTCTGTTAGCTTTCATTTGGAAATCCACAGCTATGTGGGCAGTGACCTTTTCCTATCGAATGCATGCTTCCTCTTATCTACCTTTGGGCATGAGTGGTTTAGTTTTCTATCTTGGATAATACTATTTTTTTACTTTTTTTTTTTTCCCTTCAGATGTACCTTCTTGTGTTTGGTTTGCCGGTTTTGGATATTAAATCGTAGAATGGTTTGAGTTGGAAGGGACCTTAAAGATCATCCAGTCCAACCCCCCTGCCGTGGGCAGGGACACCTCCCACCAGACCAGGTTGCTCAAAGCCCTGTCCAACCTGGCCTTGAACACTTCCAGGGAGGGGGCATCCACAACTTCCCTGGGCAACCTGTGCCAGTGCCTCACCACCCTCACAGTAAAGAATTTCTTCCTAATATCCAACCTAAATCTTCCCTCTTCCAGTTTAA